TTTTTTGACGTAGGGACTACGTCTGTGATTTCTATATGGGGGTACACTTTGTAAAAACCAAAAATGGAACATGTATGTATGTATGTAAGGTAGCTACCATCCCTTTAAAGATCTTGTCTTGTATGCAGCTCCACTTATTTAATAGCAAGATCAATTTGAGCTACCGATCTGAATTCACAATATCGCTGTATGAAGGGCCAAACACGAAATGGCGGATCCGTAAGCAGAGACACTTACATGAAATCCATGGGAATATAAGAATCTCCTTCCAATGATACGATCCAACAATTCGAATAAAGCAATTCGCAATACTTATTAAGCTTCCTACAGGATGGTTTGTAAAGAAGGGCGCGTCAATCTCACTGAGTTGAGAGAAAAATAAAGGAGAGATCTCACCACTCTCATCTCATCACTCTTGCAAATTTGAAATGATGATGATTTCGAAGAGCTCCAATACACAGAAAAAAATTCTGAATTATAACTATCGCGTAAAATCTCCCCTCGTTTTATTTTGAGCTATACTTGGCATAAACAGCGAAATCGTTTACAAGCTTGCATGCAATATTGCTAATTTATGCGATATTGCGCTTATATTTACACGAAATATCGCGTAAATTTATGCCAAATCTAGCGTTAATTTTATGTGCGCTATATCTGAAGAGCGCTTTACAGGAATTTTTCGAACGGTGTAGATATGCTGCCGCTACTTCATCAACTGGTGTTACAAACAGCACTCTCGCCTTTCGGTTCTCACACAGCAGCACAAACGTCATCAACCACGAAATACACTCTAGCTGCTCCAACTAGAGGGATCTCAGTAGAGAAAAAAAAGACTGCATCCAAGCATGAAAAAAATCGATTCATTTTGCATTTACTACTCACTCACATGCATACAACTTCAGAAACGAACAGCAGCTTGTGCGAGCTGCACTGATTTCGTTCGTGTTCGCATTGCTTCTATTTTCTTCGATGAACGCAGAATTGAGCAAAACAGACAGCTACGCTCAGCTGAATGATTCTGAGTGTAGTAGTGTGTATGATTTCTCTTTTATTATTTTTGCCATGCTGAGCCTTTTACGATTGCATTCTGCTGATTGAGCGAATGAGAATTTTGCTGAAAGAATCACTTTTATTTTCTAGCTTTAAACATACATTGACACATTTAAATTGCTGTTAATATGGATAAAACTGTTATACAGTAACACATTAACATAACCGTCAAGCAAATATCGTAAAACTGCTGTGGCCAATTCAACTGATTTAAATCAGTGAGCCAAAAGCTGTCTGACTCGGCTATTAAAATCGTTAGCATTCCGTTCTTTCTCATTCAATCTGGTTCTCCCTCGGTAGAGAAAATTTTTCGGCTGCCTTTCAGTTTATCCTTCTTTCCTTCCACTGCTGTCAGTTCTGAGTCGACCTGCAGAGTCACTTGGTTGGAAGAATTTACTCTCGCGACGGCAGCTCCTCACCGGCCCAATCAACTCGCGACCGACGCCAAAATCAGAACCGAAAACTCCAGCGACCGAAAACACACGCGTCAGCAAACACGACGATGACAACATTCGTCCGGGAGGCGGAACGCCAGCACGAACAAGCAAAGAGAAGACAAAATGCCCACACAAAGCACGGAACGAGCTGAACTGCTAACGTTGAAAGCCAAACGCGAACTGAAAACCGAAAATGGAACATTTAACAAAATTATGGAAGATTTTGAACGTTAATAACTCAGCTGCCCCTGGACCAATTTTAACAATATTATCACCAATCGATCAGAAATATTTCTTTCAGCAACATTTTGGAGGTGCAATTGAAACAAAAAACGAAGTTGACCGCGGTACGAAAAGTGGTCAGGTTTTGACGCTTTAAACTTTGTTTTCTGTTAAAATGAGCACTTTATTATTTTTCAAAATTGACACTATTGAAAATTGCATGTATGTGCAACTGTTGCTATGATAATTAAAATGATCATCGATTGCCTGCGAAAAGCGATTACCCTAAGACGGATTTCAAAGATGAATTCGATCCGATCTCACCAAACGGTGTTTATTCAATCACGACGTGGTGAGTGGTGGTGGTCTCCAGTACACAACGAAAGGCTCCCCGCGAGCTGCAGCCTACATGAGCATCCATAGAAAGAAGAAGAAGCCTTTGGTTTTTGTTTTTTTCCGTCGATCTTGTTTTCCGTGCTGAGCACCAATGCTACCGACGTGCCAGGAAGGCAACTCCCACACCTGGACCCTACCTATCGACCCATCAACTCACGAACCAAGGACCAACGGCTTTACTTCCCATCCGAAGGAAGGCGTGATCAGAGATGTTATGCCTCAGAATATCCCAGCGGCGCCGACTGGGATTGAACCCAGGCCTGGTGGGGTGAGAGGTAATCACGCTTACCACTACACTACCGGCGCCGTTAGAAGAAGAAGCCTCACCGCTATGGATCGGAATCAGTAGATCGTGAAGAGTCGCTGTGGGCCATCTATGTCAAGTGCGTCATACTAAAGAGTAAAAGCAGAGAGAATCCCGTTCAAATTCCTATTCTAATTTCATTTGCTTTGGTGTGGATCGTATTCAACCTGAATGGTTTCTTTGAGTCGGTTCCAAATCTTTTTTTTCCTGATCCTAACAACATCCTAAATGGTGTGGTATGAATAGAAATGCGTTTATTTTATCGGTGCCCTTATAGGTTCTGGAGAGTTAAGACAAGTTGTTGGCCAAATAAGATTGTCGTGACCAGGCATGGAAAATCATTTACATTCATTTGCCTCTAACTTTTTTCATCAACAGCATTCCGCAAAATGATGTATAGTGCTTTTGTAGGGTTTGTTATTAGCTACAACCGTTACTCAAATCTGTATCTCTTATGCATCCCGAATTAGAGCGGGCAGAACTTGTTACTGTTTTTCAGTGAATGTAAAATACATTCACTGAAAAACAGTAGTGGCTTCTGTTCGCTCTGGTTCGTCATGCATAAGAGATACGGATTTGAGTTGTTAACAAAAGTTGTAGCTAATAATAAAACCTACTTAAGCTCCATACAATATTTTGCGGAGTTCTGTTGATGAAAAAAGTTAGGGGCAATGTAAATGAATGCACGAAATGAATGCAAATGATTTTCCATGCCTGGTCGTGACATAGTTTTCAGCAATTAAAATTGGCCACATCATTAATATTACGGCACATCTGTTCTTTTCGAGATTGGTTATTCATGATGATGATTATTTCATCAATCAACAACCTGCTATGATCAAAAACTTGTCTTGATCAAATCACATGATCGCATGACAAAAAATTTAACCTATTTAGCAATCTACCTTGATCATTAACTTGCCATGCTCAACTATTGGCCATTATCAAGACTTTGGGTTAAAATCAACACTTATAGATAGTTTCCATGTTTTGAATAATAATTAAGAGCCAATGATAACTGGAAGCAGTGATGCAAAATATCATGACACTCACTCGACACTCGTCAACACATCAACCGCTCATCAACGATGATGAGAAAACCCGAAACGACAGAAGAAAATGAAAGCAATGCCTACGCATTCCAAGTTCGTCTCGGCACGCGTGACTGTGTGAATTACAAACAAAGCTGGCAAATTTAAACGGTAGCTGTTGGGCTCACTTACCAACACACTCACATAAGCAAGCAAAGCAGCAACTGCTTCAAAACGAGCACAGATCAGTGTCGTGATTGTCAGGAATGACCAGTTGGGTGAAGGATCACCACCAAAGACGACATTCACCAGTTGCTTTTTACTTCTTTCTTTAACTTGATGGATGGTCATGGAGAGTGCTTCGACAAGCACATTGGTGGGAATGTACCAAGTGTTACTTTCATCAGTTGTTTGACGATCATGTTTGTTGATAGGTCGGAAATCTGGCTGGAAGTGGTGCCTTCAATTCCTGTACATACTCAATTAAGGCAGATTGTTGATCATGATAGAATTTTCTTTTTCTTTATTTAACGTTGGTCTCTGTTCCACAATCTAGTGCCAATCACCGACGGACATCGATTGCCATCCATTGACGGCAACCGAATATGCAGGAAGGCAGCTTCCACACCTGCTTAGGATATCGCACCCATTCACAACACACACATGGGCCGGGACCAACGGCTTTACTTCCTTTCCGAAGGAGATTTTTATGCCTCAGAAAAATCCCACCGACCTCGGCTGGGATTGAACCCAGACCCATTGGGGTGTTAGAAAGCAGTCACGCTTTGTCATGTAAAGACATTCCCAGGTATTTTCAGCACACAGATCGATACAAGAAGTTTTAATCTACCATATAATATGACAAACACACCAAGAAACGGTTCTGTGCTCAAGTTATTAACGAAAGAGAAAGTCGGTGAAGAGAATCGATCAATGTTACTTACGACCTAATGAAATGTTCAGCTTGAAATGAAGGCGTGTTGAAAATATGCTCATAATTAATGGCACACCCTATAGTGAGACACAGAACTCAATTCTGATCACGATTCATTTAGATACTGACTTGAACTGCATTCTTTGGTGCAACCGGTGTAAATATTTACCTTATCTGACTAAAAACTGGGTAATCATGACGTTTGATTATTGACAACAGTTTAAATAACGAAAAGAGATCTACTGCTATTATGATTACCTGAGATTTGTCAAATCATGTAAACTTTTACAATGCTTGCACCGAAACATTGGAGGATGCAAAATATTGACTGATTTTCTATTGGTCCAACTCAACTCTCCGTGTACCGAACTATCACTGCATGGTAATTACAATTTACTGAAATCAACTTCAAATCCCTTCAATTCTTTACTTCTGATTGAAGTTTCCGAAATATGATGATTCATATTTTTGCACCAATTCACCCTGTTAGACTCGCTAAGCAATTGACTCCGATCAATTATTCCATTGATGTGTTTATTGCACCGACGTTCGATGACCGTATATAACCGTCACACTCAAATTATCGTTCAATTCTAAATCGTAATGCCTCTTATCGGGAGTAATTCAATGCGCGAGATAGCATGGCAATTTGCCTAGCATCAGCCACCGTCGCACAGTTGGCTCTAAACAGCCCGGCTGTCAAGATGGGTTTCGTGATTCCGTGTCTGGTGGCCCTAGCGGTTGCCGGTTGCAGTAGCAGTTTCGACATCCGTGAACCGGAGCAGAAAGATTGGTATCAGCATGCAACGTTCTATCAAATCTACCCGCGCTCGTTCATGGATAGTGATGGTGACGGAATTGGTGATCTACCGGGCATCACCGGGAAAATGAAGTACTTAGCCGATATCGGTATCGATGCGACCTGGTTGAGTCCACCGTTCAAATCGCCGCTGAGGGATTTCGGTTACGACGTGTCTGATTTCTACGAGATCCAACCGGAATATGGAACGCTGGATCAGTTCGATGAGCTGGTGAAGGAAGCACATGCAAACGGAATCAAACTGATGTTGGATTTCATTCCGAATCATTCGAGTGATGAACATGAGTGGTTCGTTAAGTCGGTGGCAAGAGATGAGAAGTACAAAGACTTTTACGTTTGGCATAAGGGAGTGCAAAATCAGCAAACGGGTCAGTATGATCCACCGAATAATTGGATCTCGGTATTTGGTGGACCCGCTTGGAAGTACCATGAAGGTCGTCAGGAGTACTACCTGCATCAGTTTACGGACAAGCAGCCGGATTTGAACTACCGCAACCCTGCGGTGCTGGAAGAGATGACAAAGATGTTGTTTTTCTGGTTGGACCGTGGAGTCGATGGATTCCGCCTAGATGCCATCAATCATATGTTTGAGGATGCAGAGTTTCGTAATGAACCTCCAGCTGGTGGTGTGCCGGGATCTTATGATTCGCTGGATCACATCTATACCAAGGATGTTGAAGATGTGTATGGTGTCGTGTATGGATGGCGTGACTTGATGGATGCCTACTCGAAGGAGCACGGACGGACGATCATTCTGATGACGGAAGCGTATTCCTCGATCGAAGGCACGATGCTGTACTATGAGAATGCGAATCGTACCCGTCAAGGGGCACATATGCCGTTCAACTTCCAGTTGATCTATGATTTTAAGAGTGATCAAAATGCTGCCGGTTTGAAGTCATCGATTGATTGGTGGATGAATCACATGCCCGCCAGACATACACCGAGCTGGGTTAGCGGATCGCATGATCATTCCCGGTTTGCTTCCAGGGTCGGGGAGGACCGTGTGGATCAGGTGATGACACTGATGCATACCTTGCCGGGAACCAGCATCACATACTATGTAAGTAGATTGTAAACCTTTTATTGGTATAATGACACTAACAGAAGTTCTACAGGGTGAAGAAGTTGGCATGCTGGACTACAAGGAGGCTAATGTCTACGACAGCCGTGATCCGAATCGTACTCCCATGCAGTGGGATAATACAACCAGTGCAGGCTTCAGTACCAACTCTAGCACCTGGTTGAAGGTACACCCAGATTATCCCACTCGGAACGTTTACATACAGCAAAATACAGAAAAGAACACCTACCATCACTTCGATTCCTTGACCAAATTGCGACGGCACGTAACAATGCAGAATGGTGACTATCTGCATCGAACCGTCGGAAGCCATGTTTACGCTTTGCTGAGAGAACTTCGTGGTCAAGATTCGTTCCTGACCGTTCTCAACATGGCCGGTGAGAAGTACGAAGCGGATCTCGGAGACTTTGTGAACCTCCCGGAAAGGATGATCGTTGAAGTAGCACAACCCAAGTCTGCGCTGAAAGCTGGGTAGGTTTTGTGAACTTATTATAGATAATACCTGTTTTTTAAATAACTGTTTTATATTTTAGTGATGAGGTTGAAATCAGCAAACTAACTCTAGGCCCGTACGATTCAGTTGTACTGAGAGCTGCTTCCTCTGCTACCGTCTTCTCGCTTTCGTTTGCCGCAGCTTTTGCCCTTATCGTTAAGTACCTTTTAGTGTGAGGGAATTTGTTGCACCAGTCACACCAATTGAAAGCCAGGGCATGAATGTCGAATAAATTGATTTGAGTCAAGCTTTTAGTAGTTGACAAATGTACGAACATATCTCAACATCAACATGTGTGAGAGAGTAATGTCACCATTTTTCCTTATTGACAACCGATATAAAGGGCTTCCCTCGCAGAGTCATTAATCATATTTATACTCATGCTTCGTTCGTCTAACCCATTCTACGATCCGCAGCAACACCGACAACACGTGTCGATCAAAGCCAGGACCCCGATCAATCATGTGGATTTATTCACCACCCGCCTAAAACGGCTTTCTTAACTCGTGTCAATTTTGTCCTTTTGAAGTGACGTAGGACGACACATGCCTCCTCTATCTAGCATATATCTACATCAACCGCGCTGAAATATTTATTGCCTGTAGGTTATTGAGGAAGCACTTTGCCCCATCCAGAGTTATGCATAAAGGGAAACTTGGCGTAATACGCGCCAGCGGGGTAATATGACCATGGACCTTTTTTTTAAAGTACTTTTAAAGCAGCAATTTAAATTATAATTTCACTTAATGATAGATCAGAATTTCTGGATGACAAACCATTAAATTTTCTTTGAAAAGTCCATGAAAAAATGCTGTTGGCCATATTACCCCGTTTTACACCATCTCCTCCGATATAGTTGGGAATCGAATCCAATCGTCTTGAATTTAAATCTAGGTCAGACGAGGGAATAAATCTCAACTTTCTCTTCCGCAGCTGCTTTGTATTGGCTGCGGGCGGGTTCTGTCAATCAACTCTACGGTCTGATGCTGAGTTGCGACTTATCCTGGGCCTACGATGGAAAAATGTCTCTGGAATAGCAATTTTTTGTTTGCTTCAAACGGGGAATTTCCTCGGTATTCACCCGTGTCAGCCCGTAATATATTCATACTGATCCAGGCAGGAAGACACACACAGAGACAAAGAGAGAGGGGGAAATGTATATAAGGATGGTGTTTGTTCGTTCGTTGGAACGTGTGCTTTAAAAGGACACAAGTATAGCTAAATCCATTTCCTTCGATGGGGAAAAATGATGGGATCAATTCATCTAGAAAGTTTCATGAATTTCGTTTTGGAACGTTGCATCTGATGATCAAATATAGGAAAATTTAATTTGAGTAACAGATAATTAGAGAATGGTTAGAAATTTAGTTAGTATTTCTTAAAAGCTATTATTTGTAGCAAGCACGCTTTATTATTTACTAATCATCATTGAATATTTATCAACTGTAAATATAGATAGTTTTTCAATTCATTATTCTTTGCTTTGTCTGTAATCACGTTATATTATTTATAGCATGAAAGCTCGTCTTTAAAATTTAAGCCTAAATGTACCACCAAGGGAGATATCCAGTTATAAAAGTTACAATAGCCATAATATAAATCGAATGACTTCCCTACGTTAAGCTACAAGCGCAAAGGAAATGTCCCGATAGGCTGAAATTTTGCCTGGTATATCACTCTGATACCACATTGTCACTGCGTTGGCTTGCGGACATCGACCCACAAGCCTATCGATCCAAAAAGCGTCCAATGCCATTACGCGCGATCGACGTTGCTTTTGTACCAAAAACCGCTAAGCCCCCAAATTCATCAGAGATTCGTCCGGTGGAAAGATTTTGGGGCATAATGAAGGCCAAAGTTCGAAAATCGTCCACGGTGTTTAAGAACGAGCTGGAGTTGAAGAAAGAATGGATGAAAGTGACCAAAAAGGTCGGCTCCACCATTGCAAAAAATGTAATGAGGGGTCTTAAGGGAAAGGTGCGGGCTTTTAGCGATGGAAAGGAAATTGAATAAAGTACTTTGACTATATGTTTTTAGTATTACTTCTACGTGAAGTCAACGATGAATCTTCAACTATGAATAAAGTAATTATGCCGAAACATTATCCATATGTATTCCATATGGATCCATATTTATTAGCAAAATAAATTTTTGGCGAACACTTTTGTCTGGTGCATTTTTTTTCGGGTACAGGCCTTAGTGGCGGTAGTGCGTGTGGAAATGAATGTGTTCAGGTAAAGCTACCGGTTAAGATAACCTTAAGGCCGTGATTGTGATTCTCCCCATGCGTGCATTGGTCTTCCTGAAACTAAATCACCCATTTCGCGCCATTGGCAGGTAGGGAAACCATCGCTGTGTCGATTAACAGCAATCGGATCCACGCGCATTCTACTGATTCGGCGCGAAAGCAACAGTTTCTGGACGAAGAGCGTATGTACCACGCTCCACGCGTAAGGCCATGAATCGGTGTAGGAGACACCCAAGACAGCCGTATATCATATCGATGATAGTTTCCGGACCGAAGTAGTGCGCAACGCAGCTTCGGTACCTCCGCCGGTCTCCTCACCAACGCAGCCGAAAATCCTAGGTCGTTATTTTATAAATTGCTGTTATGGCTCGAGTGACACTTACCTTTGATAAAAAAAAAACACGTCTACTTAGGATTCATATTTATGGAAAAAATCATATATCAATGAAACAGTCATCGGTCGTCATTGAAAAGCAATGCAACTATGTTCTGTCAATCTAATTAAACTTTTAATGGCTCTGTTGTCTTGTGAATTTTAGCTATAGCTGCCTCTTTTCTGATTTTTATCTCTCAATCTATGACATATACACGAAAACTATATCTCAACGACATTTCTAGAACAATATGAGGAACATTATACCGTAGACTACAAATGTTTATACCATATGGGTTAAAAATTCGTAGAACAAATACTTTAAAATTCTTCACTTTTTAAGATATCTTTGAGCATGAAACTAAGTCAAACTTCAATATAATCACTTTGAATAGTCAACCTTTGGTTACAAAGTTGATAGATAACACATTAAGCTTTGCTATGAAAGTTGCTACAGCAGTTTTCGTTGTTTCAGTCTCGAGATACAAATATTATAAGCCGTAAATTACCTTAAAAACATAAAATTAACTTGAAGCACCTCTAAATCATCACCGATTTGGCTGGAAATTTTGCACAGAAGTTCAAATTAACATGACGAACAGTAATCACCGTTGACCCGTTACATTCCGAAAATTTCGTTTAAAATGAACAGGTCTAGTATCTAGCATCAGTGACCATTCGACCCTTTTGGACTATATTACTGAGGCTTCAAGAGAGTTTTTTACTGTAATGAACATCTCCACCAATTTTCTCGGTGAAAACCCTGAACATTGGGATTTAAATCAAGATTATCTGAGAGGTAAGTAAATATAACAAATCATCAAGATCAAAGTTATTTTGACGTAGGACTACGTCTGTGATTTCTATATGGGGGTACACTTTGTGAAAACCGAAAATGGAACATGTAACGAAATTATGAAAGATTTTGAACGTGAATAACTCAGCTGCCCCTGTACCAATTTCAATAATTTTATCGCCAATTGATCAGAAATATTTCTACGCATCGATAACAATGCTTTCGTAAATGTCAAGCATTTTTCAAAAGCTTCGAAATAACTGACAAATCCGCCAATTATGTAAATGCATATGCTGCTTCCCCAACACAGTTATCAGAGAATCGTTTATAGACGAAACATGTCGATGTAGCATTGCTGCTTACCCAACAGAGAGTCGTTAATAAATGAAACAAGTCGAAGTGGCATTCACCTCCGATCTTCGGGCGTATGCGAATAGGGAGAATACAATTGCGTAACATTTTGCACACTCATCGCCATATTCAGAGCCACACGCCTACAACGACCACACCAACTGCTCTCCAGAGTTGTATCCAAACTTGGAAGCAAGGGTGTAAGTGATTTTGATCGACTTTATCGACTTTCTGTTTCGTTAATGATAGAAGAGCATAGCAGAAATAGTGCGAAATAGGTTAGTGAAGCCATGGTCATCGATGAAGAGAATTGACTTTCACCCTTCTGCTTCTAAGCCCTTTAATAAAATGGGAGGAGCTTTAGTACTGATATTATACCAGCTTTGTCTATACAACGCATAATTTAGTGTAGTAAAGCACAGCAGATGAGTGTATGATAAAATACCCAAAATTAGTGGGGCATGATTTTCTAGCTTTCGAAAAATGATTATTTTTCATGTCCGATTGACAAGCGACAAAACCGTAAAAAAGGAGGAACTTCAACTGATATGCCTTTCATTGTTGCTTTTGTCCATACAGTAGCTGACCGAAGCTCCTCCCATTTGGTGGTGTCGTTAGCATCTAGTGTATCGCCGAATCTATGTGTGGAAGTAGAACCATCGCGACCAAGGGCGTAGCCAGGTTTCGAACTAGTGAGGGGTGAAAAAAAATTACTGTGGAAAGTTTGGCCGAATGCCATTTCACCGAACGCCATTTCACCGAAAACCTTTGTGTTGCTGAGTTTAGTTGGGAGCAGTTGCCCTCCCTTTCCCCCTCTGGCTACGCCTATGATCGCAACAATCAGCAAAACGGTAGCAACCAAGCTTCTAATCCTTAATCAACTGGGCCGACACTCTTCTGAGTGCCCATTTCTTGTAGCAAAGTTGATGTATCCTTCGCTGCGCCTTTCCCGCCGATTTGCTGATCCAGCTGCCTACACTTCATCATCATCTTCCAAAGATCCACCTAGTCAACCCGTGTCCAGCAGCAGTCGCGCTGACACTCTTCCGAGTGCCCATTCATCGTAGCAAGGTTGAGGTTTCCCTCGCAGCCTTCCAACCTGTCGCAGACACCAGTTTAACCCCTGTCCAGTAGCAGACGGGCCGAGAATCTTGCAAATGCGCAATCATTGAACCGAAGAATATGGGATTATCCGGTCCGATTTGCTGATCCAGCTGCCTACACGTCATCATCATCTTCCAAAGATTTTAAGCCTGTACTACCATCGGCCCTTTTCAGGGCCACAAAGATTCTCCAAAAGAGTTAAATCTCTGAACATGTCTCAACTAAAATTCTTATCAAAAGGTTCTTTTCAGGGCAATCATAGTCATACTAAAGATTATAAACAGAGAGAACCCCGCTCAAATTCTTATTCCTACACGAA